GTTGTTACAATCAGAAAATTAAGAAATTCTACTCAAAAAATTAAATTCATCAAACCTTTATTAAAACTGTACGTATAAACAGAAAAGTTTGTTTGGATTTATTTGGCTCATAGTTACTAAGGTGCCAATCCAGCAAATAAAATAGTTTCAGTGTACAAGAGACTGATCATGTTTCACATTTTCATAATACCAAAGTGTCTGGGGTATAATTAAGTAGTCTGTGTGTCTACTTACCCAGTGCACAGTTCCCTTAGAATCTTGAAGCGTACTCTTACAAGGTTTTTTGTTATTTGTCCCTGGAGGAAGGACAGATTATTTTGGTATCCTAGAAATATGTGAAAGGCTGTTGGCCTTGTAATAGAGAGAAATACAAACAAAGCTGATATATCAATTTGGCCAAACTATAAACCACTCATATCAGAGATATTGAATGAAAAAGTTATATCTTTTCAGGGCATCTTTTCAAGGCAGGATTTTTTTATCCCAATAGCTTTTGAATGAAATTAATAGCTATACGAAATAATGTATATAGTAGCTCTAGGTATCAACATCTTGCTAATAAAGCTAAATTTTTAAGAGCTAGCTTCTTTCTTTAGGGCTGGAAATAGTTAACATAAGTAATGGGAATATGATGAGAGACAGTGTCGAAGGCCTTCCGAAAGTCCAGAAAGACTATGTCCACTGCTACCCCTGCATCTAAGGATTTGGTGATCTGGTCATAGAAAGCCACCAGGTTGGTCTGACAGGACCTGCTGCTAATGAACTCGTGTTGATTGCCCCTAAGCATAATCTCCCCTGCTGGTCTCTTACAATTTCTCTTTAATGTCAGGTACCTAAATAAGATGGCCAAATTTGAAACCAGTTCCTGTGTTTTAGGCTGGAAACAGACATTGCCTGATGTCTCATTTGAGCCACCATAAAATTTTTTATGGCAGCACAAATTGTAACCAAATACATTTTACAGTCTTGTGTTGTGCCACATCAAAGGATTATCAATGGTGCAACAAAATGTAATAATAGACTCTGCTGCTTATTGTGGTGGACATCTGTTAACTCTGTGGCAGGAGAGTATGGGCAGCTGGAGCTGCTCAGACTCTCCAGTCACCCTGGGCAGGTGATCCAGGGGCCTGAGGGCCCCTTAAGCACCCAGAGCACCTGTCTGGCTTTCCCCACTTAAGGAGGAGCACTCTGGGGAATCTTGGGGTACCTCTCCATAAGTCAGGGTTCCCCACTTAGCAAGACCAGTCCCCCATGATCACAGAAGTGGGTGTGGCTGAGAAGAGAAAACTGACTGTGGGGCTTTCCCCATTTCCAGAGATCATATCACCTCCAGAGATCAGATTGCCCCTTGTATTGCACTATCAAAGGTGAGACAAGAGGTGACGTGTGTTTCCTCCAATGAAGCAGATCAGTTGTACCACAACACATGGTGGCATAGCTGATTCATTTCATATAGCAATGTCTATTTCTACTCTATGTTATGATGGGAATGAATCTCAAGCTTACATAATACAGAAAAGGCTGTCAGGGGTAGGCCTGGAGGAACTTGGAGAACTTACCCTAGCAGGTGAGGAGACCAAGGGGTTACACAGAAGTCTCAAGGTTTACTTGAACTTATCCAACTTAAGAAAATGTGGCTTGATTTATTATAGTACTGCATGAACAAATCTCTTGTTTTTGTGAATAAGAAACATGTTTACTTTATATTCCATTCTTTTTCTATTGATTAAATATGAAAGACTTAGATCTTAAGATGATAGCACAGAATTATACTTGTGACAATAGAAGGAATGAGACAATAGGAATACCAACAATTGTGGGTATGAAATTACATACCTTACCTGGATCAAACTCAGAGGACTTGTTTTATTTTCTAATTAGAAACCCCCTGCTACTCATACCAGATAATATATAAACCTAGAAAGCTGAAGTAGATTGCTTATTTATTGGTGATACATAATTATATATAACTACCCTGAGCTAATCAATTCGTTTAATTTTTAAGTGTATTTGGCATTCAGTGAACCAGCAGATTAATGTTTCCTCTACACATTTGTTTCAGCAGAAAGAATATGTGAGTTTTGTCAAAAAAACAGAAATGTTCAGTTTCCCAAATAACTCAGAGACCGTAGAAAGTCTCTGATTAAAAAAAGTTCCTTCTGACATTTGACATTAAGCTTTTGTAAATATTTTTATTTTATCAACACCAAATGCCATATCAGAACTAAATATGCTGACAATATAGTGTCACATCAATGCAGAACAGTGGGAAATGGCTGCCTAATCCATTTCGTGGATTTATGATATTAAAATGAATTGTGAAATTTTGACAAGACTTCAGAATTGTAGATGCATGAAAATAATTTCCTGTGATCTTACTTGCAGTAGGTGTCATTTATCATCCCATAGACGTGAATTCCATAGCAGGCATCCATAGCCAGAATTAAGGTAAACCAACCAGTGCTGAGATATGAACCTGACTGGACTCTGTAAAAACACAACACACACAACAAATTTGCAATGTGAAATTACTAACACTTTATCAGAGAAATATCATCTATTACCTGGGACAAAAGGCATTAAGCAACTTGCCAATCTGTCAAAAACATACAATTATTTTGAATTATTTATAGGTGCACTCTCCTCTGCGCTAGCTTGGGGCCCCAAGCTGGAAGTCCACAGAAGAAATACCATACGCTAAGTATTGCAAGTCAAACAATTCCAGCCCCATAAGATGGAAAGTAATTTATTTGTACATTAGAAAGATGAAAATTAATGTAGAATACAAGATGAGAGATTATAAGGACAGCCAGGCGTCACATTAACAGAAGGGAAGTCTCTTATGTATACACATATACATGTTCACTCACACTTTCATGGACACCAGAAGTACTTTGTAGTACAATGTACTACATGCTGCATGAATACTATAAATCTATACAGACATGAAACTTTTAAGGTTATGTTAACTAAAGAGTGGCCAACAGAATTTCAAAGGACTTGAAAAATACAACTCATCTTTATACTTATTATAGAAGGTGACATACAAGAACCAGGGAGAGGAGTGTAAGGAAATTGGGCACAATTTGGCAACTTTTACTCATGCAACACAGTTAGTTCCGTTGAGTAAGAACTAATTGCACAAGAAAGGATTTGGCTCACAGTTTCTAAATGCCTCCTATTTGGAAAAAAGATATATGACTTGTTAAATAAAGGTCTGATCCTGTTCACATTACTTAAACTAGTAGTACCATTGGGAGTCAACAGAAGTACCATATTATCAGAAGAAGTAAGATGTGTTGCTTTAATACCTCATAAATAAATGATAATACAGTTGGCACTAATGGCTTAAAAATTGGTAATAGCCCAGGTTTTCTTAATGTAAGTATTCCTTTCAGTTCTAATGAGAGAAATGAAAATAATTATCTGAAAATTAACAGTAAAAGAAACTCCAGATGACAAATGAAAACATCAAGTCCCAAAGTTGGCTAAATATAGCCCAAATGCAGAGCTCAGTTCAGGAGGGTTGAGTGACGGGAGAGGATAAGTTGAATGTCTGGTATTTTTATAGTCCCCATATTTTGAATACAGTCAGGAAACCGTCTATTTTCCATCATAAGGTAAAGGAGTCTGCACTTTTCTCTCAATTAAATTTGGCTACAAGGGGCTTCTGAATACAGATGAGTAGAAAACTACAAAATATTTTCCAGTTTTGAAAGGTTTTGTTCCACGTCAGGAAGAGAACTAAGACCTTTCAAAGCTTTTTATTTATTTATTTTTTAAAAGTCAGAGAGAAACTCACTCATCCCACAATGCCCAAGATGTTAACAGTCTTCCGTGGGATGTACCTTCCTTAGGAAAGCTAAATTGAAGTCTTTACTGTGCTTGATTCAGAACAGGGCTTTAACCCACAGACTGCTTATGCCAGGGGTGTGCGAAGCGGGCCCTATTCGATTTGGATTCAGATTCAAGCTGAATCAGGGACAGTTATTTGATTCATTGATTCAGATCACTGTCACTGATTCAATTCGGCCGAATCCAAATCTGAAGATTCGATGCTGATTTGGAGAATCAGCGATTAGGACACAGACACAGCTTTAAAATTTTTTTCTACATACCTTGAGGTAGCAGGTGCGGTTCATGATATCTGTGGTGCTGGGGCACATGGAGTGTCCCACAGGAGCGTGGAGAGGGGCCCTCCACATGCTCGGCAGTGAGCCTGAAAGTGGGCCGGAAGTACTTCCGGTTCACTTCCAGGTTTGCTGGGGAGTGCGCTGGGGGGCTCCCCCATGCCTCCCCAGCTCAACAATCGGCCATGGGGGGACCCTGGGTGCCCCCCCCCAGACCCAGGAGGCACCAGTTGCTGAGCCGGGGGGGGTCATTTGAGGGGTGGGCCCCGGCATGCTCCCTGGCGGACCTGGAAGTGGACCGGAAGTGCTTTTGGTCAACTTCTGGGTCTGCTGTTGAGCGTGGTGGGGAGCCTCCCATGCTCCTGTGGGACACTCCATGCACCCCAGCACTGCAGCAGTCATGAGCCCCTGCTACCTAGAGGTATGTAGAAAAAACATTTAAAGCTGTGTCTATGTCCAAATCTCCGAATCTCGCTGAATCTCTCCAAATCGATTTAGAGGGTTCCAATTCGATTTGAAGAGATTAAAGGGTCCTCTCATTCTATTCAGGTTCAGAGATTTGGCCAGCAAATTGGGCCAAATCTCCATCTAATCGAATCAGGGACCAAACCTTCGCACAGCCCTAGTATATATGTACTGAATACCCTAATCACTGAGCTACTGCTTACACTTTGGTAGGTTTCTCTCCTTTTGGAGCTGTTCTACTATAACTAACTAACTATTGGAGCAGGAACTTAACCCACAACCTCCCACAACTCACCTAGAGATAGTCATACAGATGCTGTACTGCTTCCTCACTCTCCCTGTTCCACTTGGTATGAATAAATAAATGTTCATTGGGGAGGGAAAAAGAGAGGATCTTTATATGGCACTCCCTTTGGATGCAGAAAACTACTGTACCTATGAAGAATTAATTCTTTATGCAAAGTTGAATACTCTAACAGAGTGACTCACTTGCTACAAAATAGGGCTGAGGGGGCTTCTTTGAGGTGTAGAAAGCTGAGTTTTAAACTCTCACTCTGAATAGGTATTGAGCTATGGGTGTCCCACGTCCCCACATGAGGGCCCTAAAAATGATCCCATTTGGTTATTAGGGAATGCTTCTTCCCTCTTTCTTGCCCACCTTTTTCTCCCCACTCCCTCTTGGAAAAAAATATTTTAGCCCGGACCCAAAAAACCTTTCTTGTTGAAAACAGCATGTATGGTCCTAAGAAATACTCCAGTTCCAATGTACTGCCATTTGCCAATGTAGAACCGTTCACTGGAACTTTTCTGTACAACTCAACTCCCAAGTCTTACCATACACAGGACTGCCAAAGAGGAAAGGGGCTTTGGCTATACTTTGCTTCCATTTCCATTTCCCTGTCTACCTTTGTGATAGGGGTTCATATTCTCCCAGCTCTACATCTTCTGCAGAACCCCCATTTGGGGACTCTAGGTATGAGATTCAGCTGGCTTTGTGGAAGCCAAAATTGGGACAAAAATATTTCAAGCTAGTGATGAGGAAAAATATGCATGTAGGAAAGAAAGGCAGGGAAATCAAATGAAGGCTATCAATCTTTCACCAGAGGGACACTGAATACTGTTGTACTTTGGTAATAGACAGCCATCCTTATAATTCTGAAACTGCTAAATTTACTTGCTCATCTCTCAGAAAAAATAGTGTTATCAGAGTCATGATGCATAAGAGGCTTAAAGGTATATAATTTAAAGAATGATCTTGAGCCAATTGAATGAAATGTAAACAAGGAGGTATCTATATGTCTTCTCTGCATACATTCTTCCTCTCCTATCCTTCCTTTCTGTTTTATGCTTGAAATGCTTATCCATGCAGCAACCACCACAAGAGACTCACTTCAAGATTGTATTTTTTTTGTGCCTTCCATTACCAGTTTTTTTGTTAGTTCACTTCCATAATTGTCTCTAAATCACTTTATCTATCCCACAGATTCTCCAGTTATTCAAAGCAGAATCTTTAACTCCTGCCTAACATAAAAAATACTCCAGCTTCCATAATTCCCAAACAAGACATGGGGAACAGAAGTGGGTACTCCAAAGTAGCAATGCGAAATGTTGAGCTACATTGCTTCAAACAAGCAGCTAGCTTCAGCACCAAAAACACACTAAACTTGAGCCTTTAAAGCTAACCATTTAGAATCATAATAGCCATTTATCAGAACACTATGAAGATCAGGACCCTTCCGATAATGGAGGTTTATTGGAGAGTACTATATTGACAACAGCATCTGAAATCTGCTATACTCAGGAGTAAAAAGGAATTTTGAAAAAGAGTTAATCAATATTTCATGTCTTGTTTTAACACCATTGGACCTTAGTCCTCTCATCAATATACTACACTGGCAGGATAAATAAAAACAGCAGAGTAAGTTCCCAGATAACCTCTCTGGGAGCTAGAGTACATGACAGAATACAGATTGTGAACTTCAAAACAAAGCATTTCTTTCCCTCCCCCATCTTTTCCTGAAGATATGTAACTAATAAAGAACTGCAGTTAAACAGTAGGGATTCGGGATGATTTGTAACACCTTAGAATTCCATCTAATTCAATCTGTTGCTGTAAACATATTTTTGACATTCTAATGAAAACAATACTAGAAGTGTGAAACAATTTTAGCTGTCCCTAAAAAGCCATAAACCTCTGAACACCTTTTAAAATATCATCTGAGGAAACTGTAGAGCAAAGTAACAGCAATGCACCAGTCCTTCCCTATTATGTTAACAATGAATATTCAATTTGTCTCTCTGTAGTTTGTATCCTACAAGACTTTTGGCCATGGATTTGTGTCACGTATTTGAAAGAGTCCCTCTTGTCACTGTAATTGTATTTAAGTTTTATGATGTACCTATTAAAAGTAAACAAATCTTCAATTTCATATGGGTCACCAGCACATGGTCCAGCCCAAACCAAAGTAAAAAAGAACCCAACTCCACTACAGTTGGGAAAATCTGTGTTTCTCAAGCATGCTTTTGTTGAAATCCTATAGGAAAATCTATTATGATGTATGCAAGTAGTGTAAGTCTAAAATTGTTCCCTATGGCTTAGAGTGACTTTTTCTGAGCCATATGAAATTAATGGGAATCCAGACCCAGAGAGGAAATTGTCTCAACAGCTCAAGAGAAAAATAATATACCATTTTTCAAAAACACACATTGAAAAAGAAGATGCTTTTGTTTCCAAGACATGATTTACACCTGGACATAGGAATAAAAAGACAATGTTTATCAAAAGTTACTTTGTCCATTTATCTTGGAAAAACTTATTTTGGAAATATCCTAAAATTTAGGGCTTCATAGCAAAATATAAGTAATTAGAGGGGTGAATTAATCACCAATAAA